ACAAGTGAGAGAGTAACCTAAACAGATGGAGAGAAATCACAGTACAGATTGAGCATCAGATGTAGCAGCCCTGTTAGAGTTTCCCCAACTAGAAAGTCAAAATTACCTTCTTCATTCTTCATTAACTACCTTCATAACATTTCTCACTTTTTTTTTTTTTTTTTTTTAATCTCAGCACCATATCAAATGTATGGATATGTTTCCTAAATTCCCCTGTAAGTGGTGGATACAGAGCGCCCAGTCTATTGTTCAAATTTGAATAAGGCTCTGGGTGGGACCATATACCAGATGATCACAGGTCACTGTCACCAGGAACATGGAGTGCACATGGGGAGACACATTTCTGCTCATCACCGTCCCTTTAACTCGCTTCTGCGGAAGAAGTCCAGGGCATTATGGGTTAGCCTGTGGAATTTTCCAACAAATTTCTCAGTTAACTGCCGAATACAATACACAATATTTGGATAAGATTTCACTTTTACCCAAACACAGACAGAAACACTAGTACTGAGGCTGGGAGCTGTGATGTTTTCAGGAAGCCACGGACAACACTCTTGCTGTCTCGTATAAATAGTGGGGTATGTTCCTGGTATGGTGGGGTATAAATGGTGGGGTATGTTCCTGGTATGGTGGGGTATAAATGGTGGGGTATGTTCCTGGTATGGTGAGGTATAAATAGTGGGGTATGTTCCTGGTATCGTGAGGTATGAATGGTGGGGGGTAGGTTCCTTGTATGGTTGGGTAGGTTCCTTTTATGGTGGGGTAGGTTCCTGGTATGGTGGGGTAGGTTCCTGGTATGGTGGGGTATAAATGGTGGGGTATGTTCCTGGTAGGGTGGGGGTATACATGTTGGAGGTATGTTCCTGGTATAGTGGGGTATAAAAAGTGGGTTTTGTTCCTAGTATGGTGGGGTATAAATGGTGGGTTATGTTCCTAGTATGGTGGGGTATAAATGGTGGGTATGTTGCCGGTATAGTGGGGTATAAATCGGGGGGTATGTTCCTGGTATGGTGAGGTAGAAACATCTTCAACATTACAGAACAAGTCCATCTGAATAAGACCAACTACTACTAGATGTAAAGAAGAACTCCAAAATGTATTCAAATTAACCCTTGCAGTGGGGCAGTGCTACCCCCACACTGCAAGGGTTAAGTGCTCACCGGCAACCCTGGTGCTACACCGGCCCCGGCAGCCTCTTCTCCCCTGAGCTCCGGTGGTCTAAGGACCCATGACATTATCACATATAAGGCAGGTCCATTAGACGTCAGGACACTGAGCTACATACCACAGAAGGAGAGAGGTGAGCGCTGAGCACTGCAGGATTGAGGATCGGTTGAGTATTTTTCTTTATTTTTGCTCCTGGACCAAAACAAGCACATAACCCTTGCAGTGCAGGAGTAGTCTGACTGCAAGGGTTAATTTGAGGGGGAAAAAACCTGGAGTTCTTCTTTATTATTTTTGTGACCAGAGTTGACAATTAGATGCCCGGACCAAGTTGAGCAACCTTAATATGCACCAGATACCTTGACAACAACTCTATGACTAGTGTTTTCTGACTTACAGTGGGTTTGACAACTAGGAATACCCACAACCTGCTCATTCTTGGTTCTCTACTGCAAGGTTAATTAATGTTCTTCCGACAAGAGGCGTTTTACATTTGGACTTATAATGTCGTATTGCAGACTCGGAGAAGATTAAAGAGTTAAGTTTATCTTTTATACCATGTTCCATGTCACACCCATATTCAGGGTATAATATGAAACATGGGCCTATGCCCGGGACATGCAGTTCCTGGCCCCGGGTGGGTAGTTGTTTTCTACATTTAACCCTGTTTTGGGCAAGCAGAGCTAAATGTACAGCGTGGAAGCCGCCGCTTGTTTTGTACAAGTGATCCCGCCGATTTCGCCGGGATCACTTGTATGCAGCCTGCAGGTCTGCCATTCTCCATGGTGGGGGTTGGCAGGTAGGGGGGCGCATTGAGGAACATGGCCTTGGGGCAGCAGAGAGAGTAAATCTGGCCCTGCTGAAAGGTAAACGAAACTTAAGAACAAGTCTTTTCCTGATCTCAAATTCCTGAGCTGTGAAACTAGACTGTCTTTATCTTGCAGCTATAGAGCGCAACCCTTCTGTACTCTAGGTTATAATTCCCATTTTAATGCCATTTAATAGAATTTCCTATTTCAAGTAGAAAAAAACAGATCCTCAATTCATCATTTGCCAAATACACATATAGAGATACTCATAGAGGTTCGGGTCAGCAAATAAAAACACTAAAGAGCAATTAACATCATCTAACCATGCTGCAACAAAAATGCTACTACAGCATATCCCAGGGGTAGGCAACCTCAGCATTCCAACTGTTGTGGAACTACAAATCCCATGAGGCATTGCAAGACTCTGACCAGAGGCGGCTCTAGACTTTGTGAGGCCTTAGCAAAACTCAAACGTGAGGTCCCCACTTACACCCATAATAAAAAAAAAATGCAATGTATTGAACACAAATCAACATCGCAAATATTGTGTGCATCTAAATTTGGAGATTTGTAGAGTCAGTTACCCAAACATACCACCTCCACGGAATCAGGTGATGCAGTGCCTCCTCCACAGAATCAGTTGATTTGAGGATGCGTAGTCCATGCTGGGATGTATGTATAGTTTCTTTAAGTGCAGCTCCACACATATAGCCAGAAGGACAAGACATACTGTGCCACCGGGATGTACCTGTAGTCCATACACCCAGACTGGGATGTATGTGTAGTTCATGTCAGCAGAGAGCATGCTGGAATGTGTGGTCTATGCTAGGACGTGTAGTCTGGCTGGGATATGTAGTCTTTGTCAGAGCTGTAGCTAGATCCTTCTGCGCCTGAGGCGTAATTAATAATGTCCTTCCGACAAGAGGCATTTTACATTTGGACTTATATTGTCGCATTGCATTTCATGTTATCCATAAAAGAAAAACATGAGTCTTTATAATTTTTTTGCATTGGAGCCAAGAAAGCATTGCAGCCGTGATTGGTGGAGGGCCAGTGCAATGCTCTGGCTCCTGCAGACACTTCCCAGCCCTGGTCTGTACCAGGGGAACAGAAATTTAGTAACAGAGATGGGAGTGAGAATGAAGGGACTACAAATGGGTGACATCACAGCATTTGTATTCCATTGAGAACAACATGTCCCTAAGGTGTAGCGGCAGTTGAGACTTGTAGGTTCTTTATTCACAGCTCCTGTCAGAGCAGTATGATTAAGGTAAGTGGGGAAGGAGATAAACTTTATGTTTTATAATTAGTGTTTAATATTTGTGTTTTTTAGGGCCCGTTCAGGACTACATTTTAAAGTAAACACTTTGTCTCCTGTAATCCCTTGTCTCCTATAATCCATTGTCTCCTATAACCCTTTATCTCCTATAATCCCTTGTCTCCTACGATTCCTTGTCTCCTATAATCCATTGTCTCCTATAACCCTTTATCTCCTATAATCCCTTGTCTCCTATGATTCCTTGTCTCCTATGATTCCTTGTCTCCTATGATTCCTTGTCTCCTACGGTTCCTTGTCTCCTACGATTCCTTGTCTCCTAAAATCCTTTGTCTCTTACAATCCTTTGTCTCTTACAAGCCCTTGTCTACTAAAATCCGTTGTCTCTTACAAGCCCTTGTCTCCTATATCCCTTTTCTCCTATAACCCTTTGTCTTCTATAAACCTTTGTCTCCTATAACGCTTTGTCTCCTATAACCCTTTGTCTTCTATAACCCTTTGTCTTCTATAACCCTTTGTCTCTTACAATCACTTGTCTCCTATATCCTTTGTCTTCTATAAACCTTTGTCTCCTATAACGCTTTGTCTCCTATAACCCTTTGTCTTCTATAACCCTTTGTCTTCTATAACCCTTTGTCTCTTACAATCACTTGTCTCCTATATCCTTTGTCTTCTATAAACCTTTGTCTCCTATAACGCTTTGTCTCCTATAACCCTTTGTCTTCTATAACCCTTTGTCTTCTATAACCCTTTGTCTCTTACAATCCCTTGTCTCCTACAATCCTTTGTCTCTTACAAGCCCCTGTCTCCTATATCCCTTGCAATGTACAAGTTGTATATAGACATGCATAGTACAATGTGCCAGGGCTCTGATTCTGGAGCTCCATGTAGCAACTTGCATGCCGTGTTCCCAGGGTCTGGCTTCTGGGGTTCTCTGTAGGACCAATGTCCAGACACTTCTGGGTCAAAACTCTCATCTTTTAAAAGGGTCTATTATTTTTATTGATTCCTGTTATTTATTTTTCAGAAGTGCATGTATCTTAAAAATACAATGGTACATTCTTATAAGGAATTATTTCCCAAAGATTAGTAAAAACTTACCAGATGCTACCAATGCCAAAAGCACACCGAGAATTTGGAATAGCGATGCCATAATGAGAGCTGGTTGTACCTCTAGGATGGTGCAGGAGAGAACTAATAAAGCTGGCTGGAGAACGGCTTATTTTATATGGATTTGGGGTGTGGCATAATTGTATTAGATTATGAATAGTACTTCAGCAAAACAAATAACGGGGAAAGTTTTGTTTTCTTCTCATTACCGCATTCGATTTCCCTTATATTCCCAGTATGAAAGGTAAACGAAACTTAAGAACAAGTCTTTTCCTGTTCTCAAATTCCTGAGCCGTAAAACTAGACTGTCTTTATCTTGCAGCTATAGAGCGCGACCCTTCTGTACTCTAGGTTATAATTCCCATTTAAATTCCCATTTTAATCCCATTTAATATAATTCCCTATCTCAAGTAGAAAAAAACATATCCTCAATTCATCATTTGCCAAATACACATATAGAGATACTCATAGAGGTTCGGGTCAGCAAATAAAAACACTAAAGAGCAATTTACATCATCTAACCATGCTGCAACAAATGCTACTACTGTATATCTCTGGGCTAGGCAACCTCAGCATTCCAACTGTTGTGGAACTACAAATCCCATGAGGCATTGCATGAGGCATTGCAAGACTCTGACCAGAGGCGGCTCTGGACTTTGTGAACCCTTAGGTGAAACTCAAACGTGAGGTCCCCACTTACACCCATAATTTAAAAAAATGCAATGTATTGAACACAAATCAACATCAGAAATATTGTGTGTATCTAAATTTGGAGATTTGTAGAGTCAGTTACCCAAACATACCACCTCCACAGAATCAGGTGATCCAGCACCACCTCCACAGAATCAGGTGATCCAGCACCACCTCCACAGAATCAGGTGATCCAGCACCACCTCCACGGAATCAGGTGATCCAGCACCACCTCCACGGAATCAGGTGATCCAGTGCCTCCTCCACAGAATCAGGTGATCCAGCACCACTTCTACGGAATCAGGTGATCCAGTGCCTCCTCCACAGAATCAAGTGATCCAGTGTCACCTTCATAGAATCAGGGGATCCAGTGCCACCTCCACAGAATCAGGGGATGCAGCATCGCCTACATAGAAACAGGTGATCCAGTGCCTAGTCCACATAATTAGGTGGTCCAGTGTCACCTTGATAGAATCAGGTGATCCAGCATCAGCTCCATGGAATCAGGTGATCCAGTGTTCCCTTCATAGAATCAGGTGATCCAGCTTCACCTCCACAGAATCAGAAGCAGCCACAACGATCAGATGTCTTTAGCGATCAGTGATCACTGTCACTAAGGTTATTATTGGCTGTCCCTGAGTTTGGGGCAGCCCGAAAATAACCAAAAATTAATTAAAATGATCAAGCAGTCATAGTGACATCCATTCACAATGACTGCTTGATATACTTGACAAGTCATTACGAACACTGGCTTGTCATGTCCTCCACTTCTCCCCCTGTCAGCAACAACTGACAGCGAGAGGAGGTAAAATGTGTTAAGAAAAAAATTATATATAGAAATATGTTTTTATACTATAATGATTATAAAAATTAACCCCTCACAATAAAAAACTGCAGCGGAGCTGCAGATTTGTTTTTCGCCTTAAGGGGTTAATTTTTTAATTTAACCCCCTCATGACCGCAATGTTCAACGTATGTCACTGCCACTGAGTGTGACAGTGACACTTGGTGACAGTGACATTATATGACCTGACTTTTGGGGGGAACACGCACATTTTTTTTTAGAAAATTTGGCCCCTCCTAACATTCATACCAGACCTAAAGAGTCTAGTATTGTTTGGGAGGGGGAACCGCACTCTTTAAAAACAAACAAACATTTTTATTCTTTAGAAATGTCAGTTTTGCTGCAGCAGGTTCTATACATCGTACAGATTCCCCACTTCACAGGCAGTTTAAGGAAACCCCCCAAGGAACAATATTTAAAGGACATTTTCATTTTTATTGTTTCCCTTTAAGTAATATTAAAAGAACTGCTGCTTTCAAAAACAGTAGTTTTAAAAGTGTTTTTTTATTTGATTCCTGTCCCCCCAGGGCAGTACCCAGACCACCATACATGTCCCCCTGGGCAGTAACCGGATCCCCATACATGTCCCCCCAGGGCAGTACCCGGATCCCCATACATGTCCCCCCAGGGCAGTACCCGGATCCCCATACATGTCCCCAAGGGCAGTACCCGGATCCCCATACATGTCCCCCTGGGCAGTAACCGGATCCCCATACATGTCCCCCCAGGGCAGTACCCGGATCCCCATACATTTTTTATGGCCAATGACTTGAATATAAGCCCTCTTAAAGGGGACAATCGTTTTTGATAGTTCTACCCCCTTTGACTTGCATTGAGTTCGAGTTCGAATTAAAACTTTTTGGATGTTCTAAAGCTCGAATTCGAACCGAACTCTGACCTGTTCGGCTCATCACTACTGAAGACAAAAGTTGGGTGGAAGCTTTCACCGAGAGGACTCTGAGCCTTAACTTGGGAATACATTAGTAGATTTTTTTTTCATTCAGCTTTAGGGCCTGTTCACACGACGTCCGTTTTGTGTGCTGACCGGATCCGTATGCTGCTGCACTCAAAATGCATCCCAATGTATCCCTATGTGTTTTATAGGCTACAGTTCTGACATGCGCAGTCCGTTCAGGTTACGGCAGAAAAATACTGCATGTCACATTTTGTACGGTCCGGAAACGCAAACGTGTCCAAAAAGCGTCCAAAACGCATAAAAAACGCACTGCACTGCAGCTAACATACTAACAGCCCCACTCCAGCAAAAAAAAAAAAAAAAATTTTTTTTTTTTTTTTAATAAAAAAAAAAAAAGTTTTTTTTTTGCTGAAGTGGGGCTGTTAGTATGTTAGCTGCAGTGCGTTTATGATGCGTTTTGGACGCGTTTGCGTTTCCGGACCGTACAAAATGTGACATGCAGTATTTTTCTGTCGTAACCTGAACGGACTGCGCACGTGAGAACTGTAGCCCATAAAACACATGGGGATACATTGGGATGCATTTTGAGTGCAGCAGCGTACGGATCTGGTCAGAACACAAAATGGACTTCGTGTGAACAGGCCCTTAGGGCCTGTTCACATGAGATCAGGTCCTGATCAGATCCTGATCAGGTGCTGATCAGCAGACGTGGAGCTGCTGATGCAGTGCGTTTTTGACGCGTTTTTGATGCGCCCTCTCGGAACATCTACTCCCCTTTGTGTATGTAAAGCTGGTGATCAGACATGTATCACATATTTGCAGGCATGTTGATGGTGCTGGCTACAGCAATCTGCAGACAACGAGCCCGTAGGAGACGTAGTTATTGGGTACACCCAATCTTGAGGCTCCGGGACTCCAAGGGTCCGTTCTGGAGTTTGTATGAGGATTTGCGAGGTCACCCGGATAAATTAACCCGGATAAATAAACAGAAAGTCCAACGTTGATGACATCATAATAAGTGGAGCAAGAATACAATTTTTATATTTTTTTCCTTATCTGCATTGCGTTGCATTTTTGTTCCGTTTCCGTTGCGTTTTCATTGCGTTTCGAGCGTGTTCGTGCGTTTCTAGACCGTTTCCGGACCGTACAAAATGTGACATGCAGTATTTTTTCTGTCGTAAGCTGAACGGACTGCGCACGTGAGAACTGGAGCCCATAAAACACATAGGGATACATTGGGAGCCGGTCAGCACAAAAAACGGACGTCGTGTGAACAGGCCCTTAGGTGTGATTAAAAAAAAGGTAACAATAGTTGTAGCAGCAATAATATTACCTTTTATATGATGACACAATTATTAGCGCTCCTGCTCACAATTACTCTATAATCCTAATACAAATAGAACTTTAAACCTCAGACGTTTTTAGCTGAGGGGGCTCTGTGGCATTTTTACAGACCAATTTTTACAGACCAAGAAAGACTACATTTGGTGTAGAAGGTTAAATTCAGATGTTATGACTTGTAGAAGAAGTTCTGAGGTCAATAAATCTCAACTGCTGAACAAATATGCTTCACTGCACAGATAATGCAAAGGGGGATTTAGGGCTCGAGATGATTTGGGTGACACCATTGTCAACGCCAGCCTCGGTGACACAGTACTGGACCTGTATTAACTTCACATGTACACAGATTTTCTATCTATCTATCTATCTATCTATCTATCTATCTATCTATCTATCTATCTATCTATCTATCTATCTATCTATCTATCTATCATCTATCTACACTATATTGCCAAAAGTATTGGAACCCCGGCCTTTACACGCACATGAACTTTAATGACATCCCAGTCTTAGTCCGTAGGGTTTAGTATTGGGTTGGCTCCGCCCTTTGCCGCTATAACAGCTTCCACTCTTCTGGGAAGGCGTCCACAAGGTTTAGGGCTAAATGACATGCATAAGTTATTTCACATAGATTATATAACACTTACCAGATGCTACCAGAGCCAAGAGCACACTGAGAATGTGTAGAGATGACATGAGGAGAGCCTGCAGTACTTCTGGGTTGATACAAGGGAGGATCTATCCCTGGGTTTGCAGGAGAATGCCTTATTTATACATTTCCGCGATTTGGGTGGGGATGTTTTTGGACCATTGACAAGTAGTAAGTCTGCGTCGCAAACATTACTGACCACGTTTTTTTTTTTTTTGTAACTCCCTTAGGTTGAAAACAATGGACTGGAGTCTTTTTTTTTTCAATCAGACTCACAATGTAACTTCCTACAATCCCTGTGTTTGATTCCTGTACGTGAATACAGGGCTGGCGAGAGTAAATTAAACATTGGGAAATTGTTTTTTACATCTAAAATTCCTGAGAAATGAAAATTCAATATTTTTATCCATTCAAGTTTTTAGGCACATAAGGCCCCATTGCAAGGGCCCACAGCCTCCCTAATCTTCATCTAAAAGACAATTCCTCTATTGATTCACAATATTTATTACTCACATGTAGAAAAGTGGTCTCCAAAAAAGCCACATTTGTATTTACAACGTTGAGTGAAGGACGTCATTTAAATAACGAATGAATACACGTATCAACAAGGTTTTCATGAATGCTGTTGCTAGACTCATCCATCTAACCAACTGCTCAGTGTCTACAACCCCCCCTCTGCCAATCCCTGCACTGGCTTTTATCCCGTGCCCCCCTCTGCCAATCCCTGCACTGACTTCCATCCCCCACCCCCCTCTGCCAATCCCTCCACTGGTTTCCATCCCCCGCCCCCATCTGCCAATCCCTGCACTGGCTTCCATCCCCCACCCCCCTCTGCCAATCCCTCCACTGGTTTCCATCCCCCGCCCCCATCTGCCAATCCCTGCACTGGCTTCCATCCCCCACCCCCCTCTGCCAATCCCTCCACTGGTTTCCATCCCCCGCCCCCATCTGCCAATCCCTGCACTGGCTTCCATCCCCCACCCCCCTCTGCCAATCCCTCCACTGGTTTCCATCCCCCGCCCCCATCTGCCAATCCCTGCACTGGCTTCCATCCCCCACCCCCCTCTGCCAATCCCTCCACTGGTTTCCATCCCCCGCCCCCATCTGCCAATCCCTGCACTGGCTTCCATCCCCCACCCCCCTCTGCCAATCCCTCCACTGGCTTCCAATAGCCCAAAAGGATAACATTCAAAATATTAACAATCACATACAA